AATTATTCATAAATTAAATTTTAATATTTTAAAATAAATTATCAATAAATAAAATAATATTATACTATAGTGTAAATTATTTATCATAAATCTAAAATATAATCTATATCTTTAAAAATATTTAATTTTGAAAATTTTAAATATAACTTGTATATTTAAACATATAATATTTATTTATAATTTATAATAAATTTGAGTTATATATAAATTATATAAATATTTAATCTATATATCCGATTAAAATACCAGTGATTATCTAATAACTTAAAGCTTATATAACTAACTTTTTTAATAAAAAAAAAACCGTAAAATTGCGCCTAATTTTCCTGGAACTACCTGTTTTACTGATCCAGCATCTCCAACTGAGTAGTGACAGCTAGTATCTAAAAGAGTAGCACAAGTCAATGGAGACTCTAGAGTCAACCATTCATTATTATTTTGTCCATGACTGTGCATGTAGATCGATGTTTGTCAGAGCAATTTTCTTACTATTTGATACAAATAAATATGAGACGACCCAATTTAATTCTACGCAGAGAGGTAGATCCATAGCCAACTGTATACGCGTCGGAAGTGTTGACCATCTCCTTTCCGAGTATGGTGTATGCCACCGTATGTACACATTACCAAATATAGCAAGACATAGTGTATGCAATAAAAGAAAGAAAAAAAATAAAGTAAATGAAAAGGACTTCCCTAATTTTCAGAAAAAGGAAAAAAGTTTTTTAAATGATATTGTGTATATTGGATTGATCTTTGGTTGGAGTTGTCTTTAAAACATAATTGTTTTTCTTAAAAAAAAAAAAAACTATTATTTGTTCAAATCATATTTAAATCATATACCCATATTTATATATATAATTGAAGTAGCTAAGTACCTTGTGAATTTAAACGCACACAAGATATCTGTCATTTTTAATTTGAAACTATAGTATATAATTATTAAAAAATCCAGAAACAAATTGCATAAATTTGTAATATTGAAATAGCTCATACATAAATGAATGTAGGGGTGTTATATATAGTGCAACGAGTGCATACAGCGAAAGTTCACGTGGGCTTTTGACTTTGATATTATTTGGACTCGTAATGTATTAATGTTAGCGCCAATTTCCCAACGGTTGAGAAGATACGACATTAATAGAATTGGGTAGTGGAGAAAGGCTATATAAAGCACACTGGTTATTATGGAAGAGCACGAAGTGGATAAAGAGTATCTGCACTGATTTACCAGTTATGGGTGTGGCTACTAATTTCCATCGGAGATGGGTTTCTGTGAGTGTTCTTGTTATGTGTGTTGTTCTTCAGATGAGTGTGATCACTGTTGTTGGTGACCAGAAGCTTGACCAAGAAAGGTTCAGAGATGATTGTCGATTTGGACGTGGACCACGCTGTAGGGGCTGGATGGGCCGTCGTGGCCGTGGCGGCGGATTAGGGGGAGGAGGAGGCTTTGGCGGCGGTGGAGGTCTTGGTGGTGGTGGTGGAGGAGACATTGGTGGTGGCTCAGGACATGGTGGGGGGTTTGGAGCAGGTGGTGGTGGAGGATTAGGTGGAGGTGGAGGTGGTGGTGGAGGAGGAGGAGGAGGAGGTGGTGGTGGTGGTTTAGGTGGAGGTTCAGGTCAGGGAGGAGGGTTTGGTGCGGGTGGTGGAGTAGGAGGTGGTGTTGGTGGAGGAATTGGTGGAGGTGGTGGTGGAGGAGGAGGAGGAGGAGGAGGAGGAGGACTAGGTGGAGGTTCAGGGCATGGAGGAGGTTTTGGAGCGGGTGGTGGTGTAGGAGGTGGTGTTGGTGGGGAAATTGGTGGAGGAGGAGGAGGTGGTAGTGGTGGAGGTGGAGGAATAGGGGGAGGTTCAGGTCACGGAGGGGGCTTTGGTGCTGGAGGTGGTGTAGGAGGTGGAGGAGTAGGTGGAGGAGGGGGAGGAGGAGGTGGTGGTGGCGGCGGTGGAGGAGGTGGAATAGGTGGAGGTTCAGGCCATGGTGGAGGCTTTGGTGGTGGTGGTGGTGTAGGAAGTGGTGGTGGAGCAGGTGTAGGAGGTGGTCGTGGTGGAGGTGGAGGTATTGGTATTGGAATTGGCATTGGAGTAGGTATTGGGGTTGGAGCTGGTTCTGGTCAAGGTTCCGGTGTTGGTGTTGGTTCTGGTGTTGGTGGAGGAGGTGGGAGTAAACATTAAACATTAAACATGCATGAGGTTACGTAGATGTTCCTCAAAACGTGTCCTTTATGTAATGATTATCACAAAGTGTTGTCTTGAGTTTAAAAGGTTTTAAGCCAAACCTATCACAATTACGTGATCCATGTTTCTTAGTTTTAGTGACACCATCCATTCGGAAGTTCGCAATTTTTATTTGTAATAATGGATTTAGTTGTCAATCGTTTTGATATCGAAAACTGTAATAAATTCATATAAATAATGTCTTTCCCGAATTTATATAAAACTGGTTTCATCTCTATTTTGATGAATATATACTATCATGTATGTTAATGTTGAGTAGCTTAGCTATCTAGGGTTGAAGTTGTTTTGTAGCCAACAAAAATGTATTAATGCTTTTAAAGCCACTATGAAGTGACAGCGGAGCCAAAGGCTGACGAGGGACAATCTCCCCCTTTGATAAAGAGAAGACATTATATTAGAAATTATCATTATAAATGTTTTAATGCTTATTCATTTATAAAAACATATTTATAATGACAAATAATTGATCTATATAACATAGAAATAAAGCATGTTCTTCAATTCAATATTTCAAAATTTGTGTATAAAACTTTATTTTAAAAACAGAAAAGATGTGGCAGCGGAAATCTATTACCCTTTTTGTTAAAGATGAGACATTTTTATAATGCATTAAACAGAAAAGATATATTATTATAAATGTTTTAATGCATTATAAAAACATATTTATAATGAAAAGTAATTGATATGTATAAAATATATATAAATTATAATGTAAGTTCTTCAATGATCAATTTCAAAATTTCTATGTATAAAATTAAGTTGACTGTTGTTGCGTTGTGTATAAAAGTTGATTGTATTTCAAAAAAATATTATTCTAGTAAGTTAGCCAGAGATAGGTTAAAAAAAAAAATTTAAATTGATTCAACATCACCTATTAATTCAGGTGATAAGGAGTTTATATTTATAAAGTTTTCAAGTAATGTATACAAAATAAATAAGTTACGAGAGAGTTACTTTAAAAATGAGTATATATACTTGACATCGTTTAGCTGAGATATATATAATATATGGAAAGAGGTTTCAAATAATTGGTATAACATTTACTAAGTATTATATTGTTCAATAATTTTATATTAAATATAAATTTTATAAATTTTATAATTATTAAATTGAAAATTCTTTACTCTTAAATTATATAAGTAAAGTTTTATATTAATCTAAAATAATTTGATACTTCATTTTTATAAAATAAAATTGACGTAATATATACATTTTAAAATATAATAAAATATGAACACTTTAATACTTTAAAATTATTGTTTAATTTTAATAAAATTTGATATACATTATAAAATAATATAAACTTTTAATTTACTAATTACAAAATTTACATTTAATATAAAATTATAAATAATATAATGTTTAATAAAAATTCCACCAAGTTTAATCCATCATTTATAAATTGATTGTCAAACATAAAAAACGTTGGTTAAATATAGAGATTGACTGTACAACGATGATGCAATAGTTAATCATTACATAATAATTTTTTTACATCGCATCATTAAATTAATATTTTTGTAATAGTGTTTGATGAAAATGATTAAAAAAATATTTAAATTTAATAAGAATGATTCTTTTAAATAAAAAATACTGAAAAAAACTTAAATTACAAGGACGAGGATTAATAAGACATGTTGTATAAACTTCTCTTTTTCCATAGATACGTTATTATTTCAATTTTTTCAAAATGTTTTAAAATATTCTTTTAATTTATTTTCTTTTTAAAATAAGTTTTATTTCAAAAAACTAGATTTATCATTCACCTTTTCTTCTTTTACTATTTTTTTCCCATACTCTTTCCTTCTCTAGCCACTCTTCATATATATTCCTTTTTCTTTTTTAAGTTTTATTTTTTGATTTTTTTTCTCTTCTAAAAATTTATTTTCAAAAGTATATTTTTATCTTTTAAAAAGTACTTTTTAGGAGTTTTTGTTTTTGTTTTAGGAAAGTACTTTTTAGAAGTATATTTTTTCTTTCAAAAAGTATTTTTTGGAAAAAGAAAATACTTCTCAAAAGTACTTTTAGAAAATTTATTTTTATTTTTTAAAAATGTATTTTTTATCTTCTAGAAAGTACTTTTTTTATGTATATTTTTTCTCTAAAAAATATTTCTCTAGAAAAGAGTATTTATGGAATAATTAAAAAAAAATAAAGAAAGTGTATTATTAATTAATGGATATATATTTAATAAAAATCGTTAGTAATGTAATCCAAGATCCACAGACTGGCCTATTAAGCTCATGGCCTGTGCAATTATAAAACAATTATTTTTTTTTAAATTGTCTAACTATATTATATTTTTAGCTCAACTTATGAAATATACAGCCTTTGCATGCTTAACCTGCAAAGACCACGATAGCCTGCTTAACAAAAATGTTTCTTTTTTTAAAATACTAAGACTTTGATATTTAGTTGGTATATTTAGACTTTAAAATTTTCAAGACATTAAGAATTTTAGTTTTTGATATTTGGTGCATATGAAATTTTCAATTTTAAAACATTAAAATTTTGGTATTTTTGGTAAAATGTGTAAATATTGATGAGTTTATTAATATGATAACTGATAGTGTAAAATAGTTTTACATAATTTACGAATCACAATTTACTATATATATATTAAGTTTGTTAATTTTTACAATAATTATCTTAAAAATCATAGAAATTATTATTTTTTATTAGTTTATTGTACAAAACTTATTATACTGAGTGCAACACCATTAAATTCATCATTGAAATGTTAAGAATTTGATATTTTATTTAAAATATTTAATTTTATTAAAATATTTATGTTTTTTTTAATGTATTTATTTTCTTTTCATGTTTCCATTGCTTAAAAAGGAAAAGACAAAAAAAATTCTTTCAATTTGAACTTTTTTTAAAAAACGTTTATATATTTTCAATGGGCACTTGGACCAACCCATTTAATGTTTCTTATTTCCATTGTAGTAGAGTCTTAAGCAGGTTAGATTGTAAGGATGTGTACAGATCAGGTTGATTTAGGTTTGAGTGAAAATTTAATTTAAATTAATTAAATTGAATTGGTTTGAATTGATTCTAAAACTTATAATTTATTTTTCTTAATTCAAATCAAACCAATTTGATGTTAATTTAGTTAGTTCAATTTGAATCATTGGATATGTAATGATATTTTTTTTTTGAAATTAATTAAAAATTATTTTTCAAAGTAAATAGATTTTCCAGCATCAACGAAATTGATTAATTGTTAAAAATCAACTAAATTGATAGTTTTGTAATATAGTTATTTTTAATTTCTTTTCTTAATTTATTGATAGTTATTTTTAATATCTTTCAAACATCGTTAATGTAGTCAAATAAATCTAATTAATTAAATTGAATTATTTTCAATGATCAGTTAATGTCATTCAAAAGCCATTAATAAAGTCAAATAAATTTAATTAATAACACCGAATGTTTAATAGATCAATCAATTTGAAAATCAAATATAATAAGCATAACATCTAGTAGTATTTAATGGTATATGTATCATCTTGTAAAAAAATTGGTATATTATAATTGGTAGTTGGTACAAATTATTTATATTTACTCGTGTTTAAAATATAAAAAATTGTTGGAAAATTTTTATCAAAGGTTGTTAGTTAATATTTCAACATAACTTGGATTTCTTAACAAGAGTTGAAATTAATGAAATCATATCATAATAAAAACTTTGAATCCCAATATTGTAATCGCAAAAAATGAGTTTTATACCTTACGTTTGAAGAAAAAAAATCACAACAAACCGTCAAGATATACATTTGAATCAATTATTTATAACTTAATTTTTTTTTGGTAATTCTTTACAACTTATTGTTTTTTCATTTATTTTTTATTGTTATTTTATTTTATTATATAATTTTTAGAATTTGAATGTGATTTTTTACTTTTGAATCAATTAAATCATTAAAACTTATCTGATTTTTTATTTTAAATAATTTATTAAATTTTACAAAATTTCTATAATTAACAATAATTGTGATTTGAACATTCAAACTTTTTTTTTTTTAAGTTGTACTAACAGAATAAAAACTTATTTAGATACATAAGTTTTACTATAGTAATTATCTTCTATTTGTTGTTACATATGAGTAGAGACATATAAATTGTGACTACTTGGTAGAGCCTCAATTTAGTGTTACAAGGTTTTGGTGCTCACTAATGTTGAATAGGTTTAGAGAATAGAAGTGCAAGTAAATTCCACGTACGTGAGGTTATGGTGGTTGCAAACCTAATTGTGGCAAGCCACCACCCACAACCTCAAACTTGTGGAGATAAACATAAGTCTTCCATAGTCCTAGGACCCCCCCTGGTGGGGAAGACGTGTACCACGTTAAGGGATATGTCTATGTTAATCACTTAGACATTCAAAATCTCCTTTAGGTAGTGAATGAATGACATGATATACATATATCTATGTGATTTTTTTCTATAATGATGATTGTGTGTGTAAAAGTATGAAGATGAATAAATTATAGGATGAATGTTTTGTTCACTTTCTCCTAAACCTAAGTTTTATTTTAAAATAAGCTTACTTGTGTTATTTCTTTTGCAGATTACAATAATTGTATCTTTTGTTATTGGAGCAAGTGATGTTAGAACAACAAAACAAAATATTCATAACTGATATGAGTTTTACTTTTTGGAGATGACGGTAGTGACAAACATAAAAATATGTTATGACTTTATTTAGTATATTTCTATCTGCGAATACACTTGAAACTTGTGTTAAACTTTATCATTGATGTGTCAAGATTATAATATCATAAGATTCACTTTTTATTCCATGAATAAGTCTATATAAACTTACTCTGTTTAATAACTCATGTTCTATATCAAATTTTAATGATCTAACCGTTCAATTTAAAGTTCTTAATGCATAGATCAAATCTGTAAATTTTGAGAAAATTTGAAAATCATTTGATACTTCATTTCATTAATTCAAATCAATGTATAAAATGATTTTATGATTACCCGTCAATTTAAATTAATGAAATGAAGTATTAAATAATTTTTAAATTTTCTCAAAATTTGCATATTTGATCTATGCATTAAAAACTTTAAATTGAATGGTTGGATCTTTAAAATTTGATGTAAAACATGAGTTATTGGACGAAATAAATTTAGGTAAACTTATTTCTAAAATAAAATGATCTCTTCTCATATTCATAACTTAATTATCTTTTGTTCTATTTGTGTTATGTTGTGTTGCTATGAAGTGTGTATGAGATGTTATGCTAGTAAATATGAAAACCTTTTTTTTTTTTAGAATTATAGTTGTGTCATGAAGCTGCACATGGGTCGGATAAACATAAAAATAAATAATACTAATTTTAAGAGCCTAATAAAAACATAAAGTTGTCGATTTAGACTTAATTAATAAAAAAATTAGATTAAACTTTAAGAAAATAACTTAAATAGAATCAGAGAATTTTAATTTTATTGACTAAATAGACCTAGACCGGACTGGTCTGCTGGCTGATAGGGCCAACTCTATTAAAAAAATAAAAAAAATAAAAAGTTAGAATGGGATATATATATATATTGTTCTCCATTTGCATGAAAAATTGCTCTTACCCAAAGTCTAAATTTCTGACAATCATGATACTAATGTGGAATGCAATTTAGTATTTATTAAAGAATGCTTAAACTTTGGGTCTTAAGTTCGTTATTGTTATAATAATTTTCATTAATAAAAGATATCTAAACTAAAGATTAGCTAGTGAGAAAATTTAAGTAATTCATTTTAGTCAGTTTTCATTTCATCGTTCAATTGATTTAAATTTGATTTCTAATTTACGAGAAGAAAGAATAAAAAGTATATTTTTGGATTATCGTGTATCTAATTTATTAACTTATTATCATGCTTCTCACTTAAAAAACAAAATTATTTATTAATTTTCACTTAGGACAAATTTTTCTCTCAAAGGTCTATTATGAATTAGGTTGGAAAAAAAACCTTAAAATAATATTGGTCAGACTAAAAGTAAATATTAAAAAATACAACATTACCATTTAAATGCATTATATTTATTATTCTAATTATCTTGCATTAAAATATTTTTAAGGAAGTATTATTCGGCATGTTTGAATGGTTGAGAATTTCAACAATATTCACCACGTTTATAGAATTTTTCTTCGATAAGAACATCTTTAAAGTTTTTTTTAGACATATTAGCTTTTTTTAATTTTAATTTTTGTTTTTATAAATTATCAATAATAAAACAATCTTATATTATAACATAAATTATATATTATAAATTTATTTTATATATTAAAATTAAATGTTTATTGTAAAATTTAATCATATAAAATAGAAGATATATAGTTTTCAAGATAAAATATGACTATTATAAACCTCTAGTGTCTCAACTTACCGGTAAGAATTAAAAATAATAAGCAGAAATTTGTATAATTGTATCTTAATAAAATTATTCCGATTTATATCGGTAAAATATATAAAATTTAGGTAATTTTTTTAAGGTATTGATACAAATTTTTAATTAAAATTTAAATTAAAATACACTTATATTTATTATATATTTTAGTAATATATATTTGTAAAAATTAATAAAACAAAACTTTAATTCTAATTAAAAACAGTACCAATCACATTAAAGACATGTAATGCTTTTTTTATTACGACAGTAAATTATCTGCATTCTAATATAATCTATTTTACATTAAAACTAATATTTAAATTTTAGATATCTTAATTAATTAAAAATATAAATTATTATCACTTATATCAATATCAATAGGTGATCTGTGAAAAAAAAAAAAAAAAAAAAAAAAAAAAA